AGCGACTGGCATTGCAGCAAGGACAGTCTGAACTGTGTAACAGGGAGGGTTTAGTATGGGCAATGGAGAAAAGTGAAATGTTTGGGATTTTCTTATTTTAACAGGCATCTGGGATACTTGCTTGTTTGTACTCAGGCTAGGTGATTTGGAAACCCCATGGAAAAGCAAAAGAGAAGACTGATATTATATACCCCACATGTGTGAAAAGACAGAGTGTTTTATGCCCTGAGATTGCTGATTTATCTAATGAGGAGCTCAGCACTTGTTCCAAGAACATGTTCTGCCAACCCCACAAGTCCCAGGAGAGGAATGGATCCTGCTTAAGAGACCTTTTGCAGACAGTGGGATAAATAGCCAAATCTCTGCCTTAGTAGAGGCAGAGATGCCTACTGAAGGCAGTAGTTGTGGTAATATTTATCTGTCCTGAGATGAAGTGTTTTCTGAAGAACTGCTGCAAAAGTTGTATGAGAACATTTTTAGAATGAAAGCTCTTTATTCTAGGTTATATTTTTTGCTTAGCAAGTATTTTCATCCTGAGATTTCCCAGTCTTAATCTAGCAAAACACTTCTGCTGTATTAAGGCCTCTTCTGGGAGTTACCAAAATAAAGTGCATTGTTAACAGGGTGCATTATTTGCTTACAAATAGAGCAACACCAATTAAATTCTCTCCTTTAATAAGAAATTACTAACTCTACACTGGACTCTACACTACCCTTACTGAGGATACAGCAGCTTCTGATTTAAAGAGCTTTGTCTGGGTCTGATAAATTTTATGTCTGGTCCCAAAGCAGACACCAATTTTTTTTCTTACTGTCCACTGATATTTATGGTCTTTCACTGTCCTTCTCTATATATCCTGCTACAAAACTTCTACACACCTGTTATTTTATAGTGTGGGTTCTCAAGTTCCTTCTTGGGCATTGATAAATAAATAAAACAATATTAAAAAGGAAGGAACCTGCTTAATTTTATTTGAATTTTAAAATTAATTTGGCAAAGAAAACGCAAACAATGTTAAAATACAGTTGCCAGGGTGACAAAAAAGAGTGAAAGAGGAAAAAAACTCTGAAAGAAGAGTGTGCCTTGTCAACGCCATGCAAATTCCCTTCACCATTGCAAAGCAAGACACATGCTCTCTTTACTGAAAAAGCAATGGCTTTATAAAGGCTGAAAAGGTACCTTCATTTACCATTTCTAGATAAACAGAACACAGCAGACTGTAAAAAAACCCAAACAAGCAGAAGCTAAGGGTTAGACAAGCTGAGTGAAACTATGGAAGATGAATAACTGAGTGAAAGCTGCCTCCCAGATGCTGACAGGGGAGCCAAGGTACAGGTGTGATATTAAATGCCTGGCTGGCTTGGACAGGGATGTTGCAAGCTCTCACTGCAGAGTTGAATGTGACCTGTGCCAGTGATACCTCTGCAGAGCCCTTTTTGATTTTAATGCGTGCTCCTAGATTGATGCAGCCTTATTGACAGCCACGTTATGGCAAATAGAGCAATATGCAATTTATACATGCAGCTTAGTGCCACCAGCCTCTCCATTTCACAGGATGATTTGACAATGGCCCTGGCTGCTCCAATATATACTCACAAATACTGCAGCACACGCAGGGTCTCGTTATCTGGGAGAAATCAGCAGGACAGCCATAAAACAAATACGACTCACATAAGCACACTGCTGAGGAGACTGTCTGCAATATATGCTCTGATTAATGTCTGGAATGGCAGCAGTGCAAGTTAATGCTTTCTGGAGTCTTGGATGACATGCTTGAAAAGATCTTTGGGAAAGTCGTGCCCACTTCTATGGCTTGACTGCAAACTGAGCAACCCCCCAAATGCTGACCTTGGATTTGACTGCAGGGTAAGTGCTGGAGGAGATTGCTAATTGGGGAAGTCCCGTGGATGCCAAGGGCAGCTCCTTGTCTTACCACCAGCACCTCTGCATCTTTTGGGGGTTAAATTCCTCCCTGTTTCACAGGAGGGAATGAAGCATTCTGTCCTTCTAACGCTCACTGCTGTCTGCAAGGGATAAAACAGCCTTTGAAAAAGTTTGGAAGAACTTCTGCAAATAAACCTCACTATGACCAATGCACTTAAAATAGCTTCAATCCTGCAAGTATTAGACAGTCTCAGGCCCTGACTCTCCCTCTGAAATACAACTGGACTATAACAAAGAAGATGTCCTATTAAAAAAAAAAATAACATAAAAGCACTGAAATCATGTAGAAACAAACACAAAGAGGCTTCTGCCCAATGTGGTGAGAGAGAAAACGATTAAATCACATGAAAAACCTGTTGCTACCACTTCTGCATCTGGCCAACAAAGAGGGCTAGAGAGGCCCCACTCAGTAAATACCTACTCTTGTTGGATCAAAGGGGTAAGAATGGAAGCGAGTCCTCAGGCTTTATGGACCTGATCCAGTTGGTTTTTCTACTAATTTCTGTGGGCTTTGGCTGGTGTCCAGGCAGCAAAAACAACCAGGAGCAGGGCTAGCCTTGCCTGGCAAGTGGAAGCCCTGCCAGCACCACTGATTTTTACTCTCTCTGCCCTAAAGCTGGGCTTTCTGCTCAACTCTGGAAAGCTCCATAGGCAGCAAAAGGCTTCTTGGAGCCCAGGAGAGTTTTAGGCAGACCCAGGAATGCACAAGGATGCCCAACACAGTCACTCCCAACAGCCCTTCCATCAGTCCCCATCCACATCCAGCCATCCTGCTGTTTGGTGGCACGGTGGTTGTGATCTCCTCCGAGCACAGGCAGCAGTCACAAAGCTCTGTATTGGCCAAGCAGCTCTGCCTGGCTCTGCTCCATTGAGGAAGGACTGAAAACAGAGCCTCCTCTGGGCTTGGTGGGAGGGGAGCCCTCAGCCTGAGAAGGGCTCAGGGGCCAGGGAGAGGAAAGCAGATAGTTTCTCACCCTGTCTTGCTCTCATGAGGGCTGTCAGAAATGCAGGAGCTCTCAGAATAAAGTTTCTGGGGCAGTTCTTCCTGTTGCCTTGCTTCCAGTAATGACTTTGTGCTTGTTTACATTAGCAAGTTGTACTACCAGTATTTTATACAGCCGTAGCTAAATCAGTACAACACCTGTATTGTACCCAGCGTTGCCTTGGTGTGAAGGTGAGTAGAGTGTGTCTGAGTCCTGAAAAAGCAAGCCAGCAACATGCCAGATGGATACCTAGAGGAAATGGGAATGCTGTTGCATTTTCTGACACTTCAAACTTGATAATGACCACAGACTTACTGTGAAATTGTAAGTGGCTTCCTAAAAATAAGACACTGCTAGATTGTAGACAATTACACCTACCTTGCAGCACCCAAATAGGAATTAAGACCTGGGTTCTTTTTATAGTCTTGTTTTTTGTCAATTTATTTATTAAATGGGAGAGGATAACATGAATTATTACTTTCACAAAACAAGGTATTTTTGACAAGAAGCCTAATTCATACAAGTACGAAATTCTGCCTAACATTTCCAATGTATAAAGACAACAAAACTCCACAAGTAAGCAAATCCACCGAGTAACTTCATGGAGATTGCACTTGCATTTTGAGGAAGAAATTGCTCCAGTTTTGGTGGAGCCTGTGCAGGCTGTGACTGCAGGATGACACTGTCTTTAAATGGACAGAGCTCCCCAGTCCTGTCTGCCGTGGTGGACAAATAGATAAAGCTCTAAGCTTTACAGAATGGTGACAGATTTAACCCCAGGACCTTTAACTCTTTCACTGAAGCTGGGCACCTCCACATTCTGAGCTGGAGTTTTCCAATTTGAACCTTACAGCTGACAGTATTACCAAATACTGTTGCTCTGTGAAAGGCTTTGTGACAACGCAATCATTAATGCTCAAACTCACCCAAATATCCTGGCATTCACTGCCAATGGAGTTAAACAGTTGAGGTTTGTGGAAGAAAAGTCGTGTTGGTGATGCAGACCCCAGCTCCTGTGACAAAGACCCTTAATATATCAGAGATCCAAATTAAATTAGATTAAACCAAATTAAACCTGATGTTTTAAGGTGGTAAAGCTATCATTGTAGAAAAATGTGGGGGAAATGGATTAATTGAAAAAAAAAAAAAGTTGCTATTTTGCAGATATTACAATCTAGGCAAAGCAACCTAGAGGAAGGAAAGGGAAAGGAGTTTCCCTGCTGTACTTGTTGGAGACCAGAGCACAGTCTGGAGACTCCAGCTGGCACCACGCACGGCATTCGCAGGGGAGCTCTGAAGTGCCCCCGGTGCTCCGCGACCCCTCCACCCCCCCTTACCCACCAGCACTCTCACATTCATCCCTCAAAAACGTCAACATCCACCTCGACCCGGAGCCTCAAACACAGCCCCCTGCCTCCCCTCCGGGCGCTGCTGCAGCCCCGGGGCTCCGGGACGAGCCGGAGCCGCGGCATCCCGGGCAGCTCCCCGCGGGGCCGCAGCGGCACCGGGGCTCGGGCAGCCGCAGCTTCCCGCGGCTTTCGGCCGCGTCTGCCGGGTCCGACCGCGGTGGGAGCCCCGGCGGGAACCCCGCGCCCGCTCCTCGCAGGGCGCTCACTTCTGATGCGATCACAGCTAATTAAAATTTAAAATTCAAATCAACTATCGAAAAGGTCATCTTGAAAAATCCGTCGGCATTTGGTATTTATCAGCTGGCGCGCAACTACAGACAGACGCGGGGTGTGAATGTGTGTGTATGTGTGTGTATGTGCCGGGGGGGCAGCGCCGCGCCCCTCGCCTCAGCCCCGCGGCGGCGCAGCTCCCGCGGCCGCGCTGCCCCGGCCCCGCGCTCCGCGGCACGTCGGGCTGCAGCGGGCGGGCGGGCGCGCCCTGTCCGCGGCGGCGCAGCGGAGGTGGGAGCGGGACGGCGGCGCTGCCAATGCAGCGGCCGGGAGGGGAGGGCGGCAGCAGCGGCAGCGGCAGCAGCAGCAGCAGGAGGAGGAGGAGGAGGAGGAGGAGGCGGCGAGGGGGAGGGCGCAGCCGGCAGCGCGCACCGGCCGGCGGCGGCGGGGCTGGCCGGGGCGGCGGGGCCATTGTGTGCTCCAGACGGGGACACGGCCGCTCGCCACCGCACCCTCGCCCGCACCCGCGGCTCGCAGCAGCGAAAGTATCGCGAGAGCGGCCGGCCAACAACCTGCTCCGCCACAGCCCCGCGCCGCGCCCGCGGAGCGCCCGCGCCGCCGCCGCGCACATGCGGACGCCGAGCGCCGCCGCCGCCCGCCGGTGAGTAACGCGGGGAGACCCGCGGAGCGGGAACGCGCGGGGGGAACTCGCCGCCACGCCACACCCCGGCGGGGGAAAGTCCTCCCCGCAAAGTTGGGGAGCGCGGCTGTGAAGGGGGGAGATCCCAGAAGCGGCTCCGCCGTGCTTCCCCTCGGCGGCCCCCCCAGCGCTGCGCGGAGCCGGGCACCGGCGAAGGTCACAGCGGCGGGCTGCGGGGAGCAACTTTGCGGCGGGAGGTGGGGTCCGGGCTGGGGGCTGGTGGTGGCGAGAGTGTCGGAGGAGGGGGGGGCGGGCTCGGGGCAAGTTTGTGGGATTTAATCGCGGGCTATAAATGGGGCTGCTGGAACTTTAAAAGGCAGCAAGCTGTGGTTGGCTGGTAGCGAGATTTGGAGTAACATATGGCATTAAAAGGCGCACAGCTGGAGGTAGCATTTCCATCGCAGTGAAGTCAGAGCAGCTGACTCTCCAGCTTGCGGTGTAATTAGCAAACCGAGCACTCCTCCTTCCCTCCCTCCTCCTCCCTCCCGCCTGCCTCTCTCTCTCCCCCTCCCTCCCTCCCGCCGCGCCTCGGTCGCACTCGCACCGCGCTCCCTCCTGCCCGCCCGGCTCCGCGCCCGCGGCCGGCCCCGCCGCGCCCCGCGGAAGGTAAGCGCCTGGCCGCGGCACGCAGCCGGCTGCAGCCTCGGAGCTGCCCTCCCGCCGGCCTTCCGCCGCTTATTTTCCTCCTTGCCTTTTAATAACTTCAAGGGAAACTTTTTTTTTTTCCTCCCCCCTTTATCCCCCCCCCCC